CGTAATAACCCTTATAGTATTCAGTTGTTTTCAATAAATGCAGCTGGGGTAGCTGTTCACACTAGCTAGAATTAATTTTCGCAGAAAAGAAATTCTAAGTGAAAATAAAGTAATTTACAGTACATAAATACATGTGGATAAAACAATAGAACAGAAATCCACCAGGAGTCAGCAGTGCAAATAGCAGTAAAGGTGCAACAATTGTTGGGAATAAATAATCAGATGCAATACTGTATCCATCAGCACAGAAGTCATTTCCCGACTCACAGACTGGCATACTAACAATATTCTAGCATTAAAATTAATTATAAATAAAATATAAAAATAGTAAGTCATGCAAATAAATAACATTTAAAATTCAAATTATAAGTACATGTTCATTTCTTAAGTAGAACCTGTTCTATCAAGAAGGTTCACTTCAAATTGTAAAATGTGATAAAGTAAACTTATTCCGTTCTACTCTAAATTATAATATCACAGGGTAAATAACAGTCTGTGTATAGTGACCCCCCCCCAAGGGACAGTCAAACCTGCGTATAGTGACCACCAAAGGGACAATCAAACCTGTGTATTGTGACCACCCAAGGTACAGTCAGACCTGTGTATAGTGACCCCGAAGGGACAGGCAAACCTGTGTATAGTGACCACCAAAGGGACAATCAAACCTGTGTTTAGTGACCACCCAAAGGACAGTCAAACCTGTGTATAGCAACCACCAAAGGGACAATCAAACCTGTGTTTAGTGACCACCCAAAGGACAGTCAAACCTGTGTATAGCAACCACCAAAGGGACAATCAAACCTGTGTTTAGTGACCACCCAAAGGACAGTCAAACCTGTGTATAGCAACCACCAAAGGGACAATCAAACCTGTGTATAGTGACCACCCAAGGAACTCTCATTAAAATGGTTGTTATAGACAGGTGGCCTTTATATGGTTGACTATTTTTTATGGATCGTCAACTCATTTGACATAAAAATATTTGTCCAGAAAATTATGAGATTATATTGTTACAAATAAAACACATGCATTTGAGTTGATAAAAACCAAAATCAATAAAGTAGAAAAAAAGTAAAGTTAAAAGAAAATAAATAAAATGAAATGTTACTATTTTGGTCTCAAAACAAAGAGGACAGGTAGTGGTTTATACACAGGATGCTCATACACTATGGCTTGA